TCGCGGAGGACAGGGTTGATAGCAGCCGCAGTCTGCCCAGTCAAGCTTTGAAGTATCTGTACCGCCTCACATCCGGTTGCAAGGCGGAGTGCGACGTTTGGGAAGAACGCCTTCATGGTTTCCTGGCTCCGGAGGCATGCACGCAGGGTTTCCTGCCACAACAGGGCCTCGATCGCCTTGAAGCGGAGCTGTCAGTTCCTCGGCCGCTCAAGAGCAAGGTTGTGGCAGCGAAGCTAGCAATTATTGTAACATGATCCTCCGGTCAGTGCAGTGGCACCAGTAACTGGAGATCGCCATGGCGCGTATGAGACAAGACAAGACCAATGTATTTAAGTTACATGGTTCCAAACCTTCAGGATCTCACCGCAGAAGAGCGGATGCGGAAGACTAGCCTCTCGTATAGCAACTGGCAGTTTATGCTCTGATGTTGAAGGCTGCTGTTTTTTGCAATTATGGGCACTTTGCGGCGCAGTCTTCGGTGTGTTCATGCTTGCATTGAGGCTTTGGCAAGTGTATATATTACGGGATAGTCAGTTCCAAGAGTGACATGCAGTAAAGTCCACTTGCGCCATGAACCCTCCTAACATCTTCTGGCCCTGCAGTTGATTCAAAGAGTCTTTGCGAAACCCGCTGTTGAATGTTGTTGGCCGGGTTTTGCCTGAAATGAGAAGTGTCAGGCACAATTGTAGGCGTTGCGCGTCGACCGCCTTGATTTAACTTCCTCGGCTTTGAGACTTCTGGGTTTCACCAGGTTCAGCGGCCTGAGCTTCGCGGAGAAATATGCTACAAGTCTAACGCAGGAAACTTTGCCTTAGGCTTTGTTGCTGGGACCTCTGCCTTATGCAGCTCCTTCTCAGGTTTCCCCGTCTTTCTAAACAAGAGATAGTTTTAGTGCAGGAACGTCTGAGAGCGTCTGTCTGCCAAGAATCCTGCCGCACTGAAGTGTTAATTGGGCAGGGTTCGCAATTTGTTTCCGGAGCACAGGTGTTCCAATTTTGTACGGAACGATAATTGGCAAGTCAACCTTCCTTCACGCCTTGGGAAGAGTTGATTTTGTTTTATGTTTTCAAATGTCTTTAGGCAGACCTCGCGCAAGCAATGCCCGAGGCTGTGGCACATGCTTGCAGATCCTCTCGCAGAAAGCCCAGCAACATGCTTTGCGCACCCTGGCTTGATCATCAGTTTCCATGGCCGGCTTGGCACAAGCATCAAGCGCCCGTGAATAACGTATGCAAACCCAAATGCAAACCTGGCCCTAAGAGGCCGTGTGCATGTCAGCGACTTTGAGAAAAGGGCCCGAACCCTAAACCCTAATCACAGAGCCTGCTTCGCGGGCTACCTTCGGTTGGCTGTTTGTCTAGGGCCAATGGGTTCTCTCGAGAGTTTGACCTACTGGAGCCTTGCCTGCCTGTGCAAGTGCGAGAGTCGAAGCCCTAATCACTAATCACCCTACACCCAGGTGACTTGGAGGTTGTCTATGCGCTGGTGGATGAGCTACGCTGTGCCAATGACATGCTCGCCGGGCAACAGGCTGGAGAGCGGTGGCAGCTGGTGACTGCAAATGACCAGGAGAACGGGTTTAGGGTGTAGGGTTTAGGGCCTAGGGTTCAGCTTTTAGGGTTTAGGGTTTAGGGGTGATTCTGAGTTCCATGCACCAGATAGGGAGGAGTGAGTGAATCAGTGAGAGTGTATGTGGGTGTCCATCCATTGGTGCAGGACAAGCGTGCTGATCCTGCCGCAGCCCTTCAGTACACACGCAAACCGGCGGAGGCCTACGAAGAGCTTGGTGGGCTTGAAGTTGACGTGTTTGAACCCTGAGGCACTGGATAAAGCTCCGGGTGAACAGTTTTTGTAAGAAAGGGTTGAGCCAGTAGTCAGTCCCCGCAGATGCAAAAAAAAAGTAGTCGAGCCCCTTGTGAAAAAGGAATTCTGTATTTTGGCACAATTGTTGCAGCAGTATAATCTTTGACTTTGCTTCATCGATGTCGAACCAGCTGACTCAAAAGTGTGTACGCCCCCCATTTCCGGCGCATCCTTGAGGGTTTAAGGAAACCATAGGAAATCTGAATTGTTTGCGGGCACCTGAATGGCCCAGTGTGTACAGTTTCTCACACAAGTTGGGACATGCTGATCCAAGCTCAAGCCGGATTCTATGTTTCTCCATGACTGGGATTCCATGACACACCCTCATGCGGTGCAAGCGCATCCAGTAGGCTGTTTCCCAAACAGATCTGCTTGTGAGGCGCACCTGCCTCCTGGCCCAAAGTTCTTCTCAGTCGCGCAGCTGCTCCGTCCTGAACCACAGGCCTCAAATCTCTGAGATGATGGGGCAAAGGAATTTGCAGGGCTACCAGACATGAACGCACTTGCTCCCGTTTCAGGACGCAGCTACCACTCTCGAGCCCGACGACGTCCCCAAAATGCCTTCTGCAATCCTCTCAACATCAGAGTGGGCAAGTCCAAGTCCCTTCCAGGCACCCGCATAAGCAGAAAATTGCTGTTGTGTGTGAGGGGCTCAGCCCACGCCGTGCTGGGTTCAAAGGTACAGTGTAAAGAAGTTTGGCATCTCAGTAAAGGAATTGCTGCCGCGACCGTGTTTAGAGCCAGGCTTCGAGCGGGCTCTCCTTCCTGTATGGTCCGACGCTCGTACAGCAATTTTCCACAGTTTTTCTTCAAACAGTACTTGTGGTTGTGTTCCTCGAACACCTCAAAGTCTGAGCGCGTATCGACAGAAACATGAAAGAACCGCCGATCGGGCTCATTAACTTGTCCTGCGTGATGCTCATATAAGTACACCACGTGATTTTGCACATGAGCGAGACGCGGGCAGAGGTCGCATGAACGCATTCGTGTGTGATGCGGGGACCGTATGGAGGGTCTTGCAGGGTGGTATAGGTTCGACCGGCCACTGAGAACCTTCAGAAAGCTAAAGCTGACGCCCATAGTCATAGACTGGCTACCTTGCTCAATAGGCGGACCTGCCAGAGAAATTGATTTGGAATTTTGCTAGTTTTCACCGAACTGGCCAACTCCCAAAATCAACCATTTGTAAATTGTTCTTTGAAATGACCCTTTCGTGTTTCGTGCTTGGCAGCCACAAGTCACAAGACCCAAGCCCTGCAAGGGTGCAAGATCAAGAGTCGACTCGCTGGCATCGGAGTTCTCGCAGGCCATCCATGCCTTGCAACCATCGCCCCCGCCGCCAGCCCTCGGCCCGTCCGGTCTGAACGTCCGTGCCTGTTTCGGGGGCGTCCAGGTCCATTTCTAGCTCAAAAACCCACAATTCAGCAGCGTTTTCCGGCCGTCCATGCCTGCCAGCTGCAAGGGAGGACAAGAACCACGATGTTTTGGAGGGAGTTTGGAGGGTTTGTTTTGCAGTCTTTTTTGGCTGTCACACATTGGCCGTCACACAGGCATGGAGGACAACAAGTCCACGAGTTTTTTGCGCGTTTTCCAGCCTGCTTTTGGCCGTTGTGCAGGAAAGTCCAAGAGAAAACTATCTGGGTCCTCTGGATCATGCCAGGGACATGAATCAACAATGCATTTCGCAGCCTGAAGAGGCCAAAAGCATCACCCGCAGCAGGTCATTTTGAGCCCCTCGGTTCGTATGCCGCTGGATGGCAGCCGGACGGCTGAGCCCAGCAATATTTTGGTTGGAGAGTTCTTGGTAGAGCCATCTAACAAAGGATGAGCTACATGATGCTACATGACCAGGATTTTAGAGAGCGGTCAACGGATCTCAGGACGAGCCAGGCTCGGCTCCAACCCAGCCAGACGCGCACCAAGTCTCTGGAACAGGGCCGCAAAGCCGTGTATTGCTTCGAGCCCTCCATCTTCTCAGCAGGACCGAAGCCCCCCTAAGACTAGAGCGACTAGTCTGCAAAACGACCGAGTTTCGGAGACCAAGCGACCCCAATGTGGCGGCGCCATTCTTGTCGAAAAGTGTTCGAATGTGGGCAGAGGAGAGAGCGTGGAGCTGCCTCGGACGGCCGGAGTGCAGCACAGTACGGAGCTCCTTCGCTGCTTGGTCTGGACATGCATGAGTTCATTCAAACGGTTCTGGGCTTGGGGCCGCTGAGTGCTGACTGCTCACTGCTTTGTCAGGACAAGTTTTCGAGGAACCTCTAAGCGAAGCCATTGGCACCCGACGGCCGGTAAGTTCTTCCAGCAACGTCTTCACGGGACACAAGGACGGGCGAGTGGCTGAGGGCCACAAAAGATGCATCATCAGCAACGCTAATTCTGCAACACTCGATCAGGTGCCGTCTTCGCTGGACCGCCCGAATCGAGCTGGCTGGGTCACGCTGCTTGCTGGAAATCAAACAAGAGTACTTGCTGAGGAACATGTTCTACTGCTTCAATTAGGTTTGAAGCGCGCGGGGCAGCAGCGCAGCACCCCACTGCAGAGGCAGCCAGCAGATGCCCAATGGCTATTCACGTGGAAGCTCACATGCACAGTTGACCCTCCACATGGTGGGCACAGGCGCAAGCAAAGAGTGACTTTGCCTCTTGGGCCTCGCGAGAGCAGAGCGATGGCCCATCCCAATGGGAGTCTTGCCTACAAGCCATACGATGTTAATGACTTGGCCATCAGCATTCAGACATTGATTTGGTGGGTCAGGCGTGGCACGTTTTTCCCAAACTTGCAACGGACCACAGAAGCACTCATATGCCTGCGGCTAAGGACTATGCTTGGCCGGACACAGTCCTGCAGCCACCCAGTGAGTCGGTCTTAGGAAGTCGTTCAGAGATACCTGCATTCAGCACGGCATTTAGCAGCTGACTGCAGATCATGCATAGGAGTGCTGGAATTCCTTCTGAAATGCATATATTATGCCACAATACAAAGCAGATCTCTTCATCAGTAGCGGACGCTTGAATTCCTGCATTCCCCTGTCAATGCACCGTCATGGCTCTGCCATTGATGCAAGCTATGTCTTGACAACAAAAAGGATGATGGCAGGTATGATAAGCATGATGGTACACCCCAACCTCTGCAGGCGGTTCCTCTGACATCGCAGCATGGCCCACAGGTGCAATGATGCAGCTTCCCGTAAGAGTCAGAGTTTTGCAGTTAACACCCAGGACGAGAGACTGTGTTTGGCTCCCTTCCAAGCTCAGGCTGCATGGAAACAATTTTGAAGAGAGACTGTTTCAGGCGATGGTGCTGCTGTTGTTTGAAACGCCGCAAGCCCAGCTTCCAGAGGACTCCAGATGGCTGGAGAGTCCGTTGCTACGTCAAGTTGTACGGGCAGGCACTGCTTGCTGACAGAGATTCCTGCCGTTGCCTTGGAATCGACCAAGTCGTATGATGTGATATGCCATGCTGAAGATGCACCTCGCATTCCTCCAGCAGGTTCCCTCACACGCGAGGAGCGTGCAAAGCTCAGTGTGTGCCATACCATGTAGCCCTGGCAATGCTGCACTGTACTGGATGGCATTTGACTCAGCTGCATCGTCACTCAGGCAGCTGCGAGACCCGCCGATGGAGCAACACGGTTGACTGCACATGCAGCTTGGCTTCATTTGTTGCTTGTCGAGGCAGATCGAGGCTGCTTGGCAAGATGCTGAGGCATTGAAGCCCATCAATACACTGGTTTACGGTATTCAGGACTGACACACGCTGGCTATGTATGTTTGGAGAATGACTGAATATCCGCAGCTTTCCTGCGAGGATCTGAGCAGGTCATCATCGCAGAGCGCTCGGACGGTTGCGTAATTACCGCATGTGGTGCTTCTTGAACTACAAAAGATGCTGCATAGAAGCCCATTCTTCGATGCGCTCGAAATGCCCGCAGGTCCACGTCAGCGCCGTGCGCAGAAAGCAGCACCCGCCGGCCCATGTCTGAGAGCTAGGGTGCCAAAACAAAGACGGTTTAGGGTTTGGGATTTAGGGTTTAGGGTTTAGGGGCCTTTAGCTTTGTGCCGTTTGCCTTAGGCAGCTTCGCCGCCTGAGTTTCCAGGACCTTACAGCCCCGGCCTTGTTCATATTAGAGAAATGTATACACATGTTTATATACACAATAGAATATATCTATCTGTACATGCATATTGATATTGCTACTTACAATCGTTTTCACAAACATTATATATATATACATATTCATAATCCGAGCATCTGTTGAATTAATACCCCCCACATTTAAAGAAATGTTTTTTAGCCGGAAGCCCGCCGGAAGACTGCTTTCCATTAGGGTGGATTTCGTATGGGGCAAACCCACCGCATTGCAAGGAATTTTTTTGGGGGGTTGCAAAATGACATTCCTATTGTTTTGTATAGATAGTCAATACTTTGTTATTCCGTTTTAATGGAGATTCTATACATTCCTGTTGTTTTCAATACATTTGTCTGTTTTTAAATAGAGAATCAATACAGGGCCATGGTCCAACTATTGCGGAACCCTGCCTTTCTTATTGTGGCGGGGGGGGGGGGGGGGTCCCCCCAATTAAACAGATGCTCGGATGATTCTTTTAGATAGCATTTTGTTTATATTTGTTCATGTTTCTTCATGTTTATTTACAGTGCGAGAAACATTGGACGCGGCGATAAGCGCATATATAATGCCTGGCCCAGGCAGTGGCAACGCTGCAAGATGGCAACGTCATAGAGCTGCATGCCGTTATGGACTCAGCCTTCGAGTTTGTGAACGCTCGTGTCCTAGCGGATGGGTTTACGATTGTAGAGCAGCACAGGATGGCAATGACATCCTGGTCAGGGGCTTAACCCTGGCAGTTGCCTTGAGACTTCTTGTTCCATGCACTTGCAGTTGGCCTATTGCATCTTGAGAGGCCTTGCCTCTCTTTTCTGCACCGCTGGGGCAGGCGACTTCTTGTCCTTTCGCGGTGGCATGCCTGCAAAGACTGGAAAGCCTCGCAATTCGAGTCCGGGATCGTTGCGTTAAGTTTCCTCTTTGCAGGCCAGTCGAGACGCGCTGGCGGCCGGATTCCGGTCTGCCTTGGAGGATGAAGGGAGGACTGCCTGACAAGCCCATGAAATACTCTCGGTTCTTTACAGTGGGGCCCCAGTAGCTGGCTCAAACTAACTCACTGCAGTCTAGCTTGAAAGGAAAACTTCCTGGTCGACATTGTCACGGACAGTACGGCTTGAAAAGCAGCCCTCAAGGCCATTCCCCCACAAGTGGAGTCCCCTGCACAAAGCAGACAGCGCCTGCCAGGTTGCTCGAAATCCAGGACGTGATCGTCCCAGTCTTCCTTCCACCTGATTGTGCACATAGCACGATTCCAGAACACACCAAGACCGCCACAGACTAATCCTAAGATTGGCTTCGTGCACGCATTTTTGCAGCTGCTGGGCCTCGAGAGTCGGAGCTTTCGAAAAATCCACCTGTCTATCCAGATACATATATCTGTATACAGATGATATGATCTAGTATGTAACAGAATGTATTTATTATTTGCACGTGTCAATTCATGCACATCACCGGCTCTCGTGCAAGCAACCGTCATCATGAAAGACGAGAGCTGTTTGGCTGCTTTGCTGGCGTCACGTGTAGGCTGCAAGGCGCCATCGAGCACGTAGAGTTGGAGCTGCTCCATGGGAAGCAGAAAAGTATGTTGACAATTGCCAGCGCTTGCCTCGTGAGGTGAGGCAATACTAAAGAAACAGTCCGCAGATGTTCTGCTGCAGAAGCCGCAGAAACCGTGGATGTGTGTAGTGCGAACGAGATACATTCAAACCTGCTTAACTTTAGTTCGCAACGTCTGAGTGCATGACCGTGTTTGGCGCGGACGGCGTGTGGCGACGAGGGTCCGAAACAGTGATGCCATTCACCACCATGCTCCTAGATGTCCAAGTCCTCATGAAAAGGCTCTCAAACCCGTGCCTAGCTAACATACCCAACAAGCTGAAACGACCACGGTCAGAACAGTAGGGAGCCGCACGAAACAGTGGCACAGATATAAACGCAACTGTCATCCAAGACGTGGCTGGATCTTTCGGCGTCGTTTACATTGCAGAGGTAGACCCGACTCGATCGGCCGAAGATGCAAAAATGAGTTTCTTTCAACTGCAAGAGGACGACCATTGATTCTATGACTCTTGCTTCGGGCATGAACCTATTGGCCGGCTTCCTTCGAATGATCACTGATTCATCCTTCGCTGCTGAGGATGCAAAACTGCCTGGAGCTGGAGTACGGAAGTTGGTGGTTTTTGAAGTCGAGCGTTGGAGCCCCGGACGCTTCTTCACCCATGGCAGACTGGACATGGCGTGACATGGCCTGCAGGCAGACTTCCTGGTGCATCTGAGTGGCTGACACCCTTTCTTCCGATGGACAGCCTGGTTGCAAGGGAATCTACTAATTAGTTGACGATGTTCTTGATCAATAAGTCACTGTGATAGTGCACCTTCCGCGTGTGTTCATGCACAGTTTTTTGAAGCCCAACAACAAGTACTACAACCACGACCACCACCACTGCCGCCCCCGCCACCACCACCACCGCCACCACCACTACCACCACCGCCAGTGCCAAACCTATGTTGGGGGAACAGATCCGAGCAGTCAGCTCCCTCAAGTTCTTGAGTCCTCTGCGTTCATTGGGGTTTCAGCGGGGGTTTCAGATCCCCCCCTTCAAAACGGGCACACCATTCTCAGGGTTGGAGGATTATATGCTTCATCATTTTTGCAGTTGCTACCAGTCTCTTCTTCACCGTATTCTTTCGGGAATGCCACAACAAATGCACATGCGAAGTTTTTTGCCCCCGTATCCGTTTCCTTTGGCGGGCTGATCATTGCCAAGCTCAGAGCGAAAATGACAGCGGCAAGCTTGATCGTGCTTGCACAGGTTGGCAGGTTTGTCGTTTTTGAAAGATGGCACGTTGTCGCAAAAACCCGCTGTCATGTCGACAACATCATAGAACGGTTGATATTGCCTGCACCTTCGGGCTTTTCCTACATCATGGCCCAAACAGCTCTGCGGCTTCTTGGCGCAGAAGACGTGCAGTTACAAACGCCCCTTCAAAGTGTGAAGCAATATGGCAAGCTGGTCCGGCCTAAGAAGGCCTGTCGTTTTCTGAACGACGTGTTGTGACCAACGTCTTTTCAAAGTGCGAACATGCCAAAACGTAGGTATGTGCAAGTAAAAGGCCGCAGCAGAAAGTCGTTTGATGCTGTCTAACAACGTGCTTTTCTTCACATGATCGCTCTCCCTTTACCAGGACCCGCTTCCCAGATCCGCAAAATTGGGGAAACGATTGAGCCCTTTGCATGATGCAAACCGTATGTACTGATTCTTTATGTTCACTGCAAAATGCTGTGAGACCTGCGGAAGAAGACCCTTGCAGTCATGGTCAATTACAGTGCACAGCATTTCATAGTATGTATACATGATTTGTCACGCGTCAGCGTTTGCATCAGCTATGCACCATTCCGGAAGGATGCCGGATTGACCTGGCGTTGGGTGGACACACGTGGGCTGCAATCTGAGCATGCAGCGCCCAACAGTTGTTCTCATCACAAGCATACATGACTCTTCCCTTTCCATTTTGCGTTCGATCGGCCAGTGACTCCAGATCATGTTGTTGGATTTGAAGCAGAGGCGTCCCCATCCGCACCTTTCACTGGGTGTGGCCCTCAGCACAAGAATCAGCAAAAGGCAATGCAAAAGGTGAAAATCTGTCGTTTTCGGCAAAGGATGGCCCGGCCAAGTGTTGGGGTATCCATGGTGACTTGTAGCCTTCCGGACGATAGCCCGATAGCCACTAGCCTTCCACACTACCCCCCCCATGACACGCAACACATGGAGACGTGACTGTTCGGTTCACTATGCAAGCCAGTGCAAGCTTCTAGCCTTAGGCCTGACGCGCGGGGCCCCCAGAGACTCAAACTGCTCCTCGTTTGTGATGAGCCAACGGTACTGATCTCGCTACGAAATGGACTGTCAGTTTAGAGCCCATTTCTTACCAGCGCAGCTACCTCTTCTTGACAGTTGAACCGAAAGTATCCGAGATGACACTATGCGAGGCTTGCAAGCAGCAAGCAGCGCATCTCCCCCTTGCAGGCCTGCAAACGGTCAAAGAATGCAAGAATCTGTCCTTCTGAAGCTATCGGCCATTGCCGCAGGCTTGGGAGCCTTTTTCGGCCAACGTCAGATTGGCAGCTTGAAGTGGGTCTAAGCCTTAAGGTCTCAGAGGGACTGCTTCAGGGTTCCCGCATGTTCCCACCTTTGCCCTCCCGCATAAGGAAATGCCACCGACCACAGGGGATGGTCATATGCCATGGCCTGGAATTCCTCCACCTGGGAGCTCAGGGGATGACACAAATGACTTGCAATGACAGATATACTCCAGACGTCACTACAGACGTACGAGTACGCAGTCAGTTCTTGCAGGAGCCAGTTCCCGGTCCGCTTGACGTCTTACGGCGAAGGCGATGGGCGAGGACATGAGATGTCAAATTAAACTGCACTACAAGAAGTCAAATTAAACAAATCGCCTCATCGTCCTTGATTTTTTTCCGTGGCTCACGTTCTGATGACTCGACTTCACGAGAGCTTTGCATGAGCTGACAAAGAACCCACCCACAGAATTACAAGCATGCTTCCAAAGCGGGCATCGGCTTGTTCTCTACCTTTCTGCAGCCTGAAAGTGGGTGCCTCACACACAAACACACACTCCAAGCTTGTAGATCGTGGCCAAGAGGATGCCGGTGAAATGTATACCTCGTCATTCTCCTCATCGTTTCAGCTTGAGGCGGCTTTGCAGGATTCCATAGGGAGTCAACAACAGTCCTTTGTTAGTTCTCCACACGAGCCAATACTTGCCTTCTTTGGATGATGGATACACAGGTGACGCAGCTTCCGTTCTAGTATGCTATGTACCTAAATGTGGGCTGCTTCAGAGACAGGTACCTAAAGGGGGTCACCATCTCCGTCAGACACGTGGAACCGTGACTTTGTGCAACGTGAGGAATTGGGAATTGCGCAAGGATACTGGCACGAGCCCTTCCTGCCCAGTAACATTTGTCTGGGCCTCCGCACAACGCTGCCGAAGTGTTGCCCAGATGGGCGTCGGCAACACAACCAGGGCAAGCGTACTATCCACACATGTGCAGTTGTAGCATGTTAGCTTCAAGGATGTGCGGTGGAACACAATGCATTTGAAGTGGCTTGGTAGTTTGGGAAGCTCTCTTACTGGAGCAGAGAGCGCCCACATGTACCCGCACCAGAGCATGACCACTTTCAGATTGAAAACATTGCCTCTTTCCCCAGTATAGTCCCGCTGGCCTGGGCATGTAAATGCATTCTTTAGCTGGTCGCTCTGAATGCCACATGCAGGACATTCACCTGACGGACGTTCAGCTGATCCAATTGACACGCCATGCCACCCAAAGCCCGGCTAGCATGTGGACCTGACCAGATGAAGGCGTGGTGGCTCTTGCAGACGGACTGAAGTGGCATGCGCGCGCGAAAGATGGGCGACGCTATGAAGATGCGGGAGATCCAATTGCCATTGCTTTGATGGAGAAGACGAAGTACAGCGGTTGATGCGAAGCGGCCTGATCGGGCATGGGGGAGCACGAAGAAGAGCAGGATGTCTTGGACAACTCCGGCGTGGCTATGCGGTCCACTTGAACACGTCGTAGGAATGGACAAGGTTTTATGTTGCGTGGAAGGAGCTGAGCCACCTGGAGCTCGCTGAGCAAGTGACTCAAGTGACGAGCCGCTGAGCCGCTACAGTGATCCCGAGTATCAGGCACCTGGCAACGACAAGTCGTTACAGCTGATTGGTGATCTTTCCCAGAGCCTGTCGGCTCAGCTATTCAAACAGCATTCTGCAAAGGCGACGTACATGACATCGGAACACAGTTTTTTCCGCTTCGAGCGGGCAACCCGACTCAACAGCTGTCGACAAAAGGTGCCTTTTAATTTCATAT